TATGGTAGCCAATCAGAAAAATAAGTAATTTTCTATAAATTAGGACATTCTATAGTCATTGACAAGATATATAATAGTACAGATTCTGAGTGCATTTATTTATATCTGTCAAATTAGCCATTGTACTATCATTAATCATTTAAAATAATTCTTTACTTTTTTAAAAAAACCCACTTTCCACAAAATATGGAGATAGCATTTGGGGCTTAAAAGCACTTTAAGCTACATAATCCTCTCTGTATTGAAATATTGTATATTAAATTACCTTCAGGCTATGTAGAAAGGATGTACCGATAAAATGGGTTGCTTGCTGCTGGTCATAAATAGAAATTTTATAAGATGTAAGTGAAACATATATTAATTTAATTTTTAGACTTAAGTCCCATCTCTAATATTATGTATGCAGGTGAAACTCTTCTGATCTCAAGCATTTTGGATGAGGGATATTTAACCTTTTCTCTTCTGAAGATTAACACTTTCTGTAGTTTATTTTTCCTATTGAACAAATAATTATAATGGAAAGAAAATAAGAAATTTACCTTGTTTTTTCCAGATGAAAGTCCCCCCACCCTCGTCTTCATCTGCAAGTGGACACATAACATTTGTATGATTTTTTTTCTCCTACTGCATGCATATCTACTTATCTTCTGACAACTCTACCTTGGGACTAGACTTGAAAAATAGTAATTCTCTCCCAAGGGTTGGAGCCTCAGAAGGCATCTTTCTCCGATCATGCCAACTGCATACTTTTTTTTAAAAAAAGGAGAGTTTTCTAACTGCATAGTGGTTACAGACATAAAGTAATTAGAAAAATCAGAAGTTAAAAGTAGTCCACATATAACAATGACTACAGTGGAAAAGGAATAAAAATGAATACAAATAAGTTCATTGGTCAAAATGCAGCAAAAAGATGGGCAACTGTTAATTGAAAAATTACTGGATTTGTTGTTTATTGTTTTTAGTTCTTCACACCTTTAGTTTAAAGAATTAAATTTTATTGAATTAATAAAACATCATATATTTAAAGCAAAACTTCTTAAACTGTGGATTGTATCCTCATTTGGATCTCCGAAAAGAATCTTGGGTTCATAAAGCAATTAGCAAGCCTTGCAAATGCTGATTTTGCTTAATTGCAATGTTATGTAATGTTATGTACCTATATATCTAGGATTGCATTAAAAATTCACAGCCAAAAAGGAGTCACAAGTGAGAAACATTTAAGAATTACTATCTTAAAGTAGAATAATGGATTTTGGCACATCCTTTAAAAATGTATGGAGTCTGCAATGTTCATTACTCCTTGCCAGAACTATTGCACAATGGACTGCATTCCCGCGCTGTCTCTTCACAGCAATCTAAAATGTAAAGGTAAAGGTATAGGTTTCCCCTTGAGGTTAAGTCTAATCATGTCTGACTCTGGGGGTTGGTGCTCATCTCCATTTCTAAGCAGGCGTTATCCATAGACACTGCCAAGGTCATGTGGCTAGCATGACTGCATGGAGCACGGTTACCTTCATGCAGAAGCAGTACCTTTTGATCTACTCACATTTGCATGTTTTTGAACTGCTAGGTTGGCAGAAGCTGGAACTAACATCGTGAGCTCACTCCGCTCCCCAGAGTCAAACTGGTGACCTCAGTAAGTTCAGCAGCTCAGTGTGCCACCAGGGGCTCCCAACCTAAAATGTACTTATGACAAATATTTCTGATTTTATAGAAACCACACTTTAAAGCCCTAATGTAAGGCACTGTGGGAAGCTTTAAACTTATTTCAGCTATGGCAAGATGGCAATTAGGCCTCCAAGCTTCCTTGGAGTCCTATTGCCACTGATTAAAAACTTTATCAGATGCACGGAGAGGAGCGTCTTCTCCCCACTTCTCTCTGCTGCCAGAACGGAGTCCCATAGAGCCCATCATGTAATGCAGGGCTACTTCTGGTGGGACTCTGTGAGGCTCCATTGAGGCAACATTTCAGTGTTGCGTTTACCCAACTTCTCATTGAAGAAGGGAATAGGAGGTGAAGAGGAAGCAGAGATAGATGGGAAAACAATATGGGAAGAAATAACACAAATCTTAATGGGAGAGAACAGAGCCTGGCAGATTTTCCCCACTATCCACTGCATTACCCCTGCCTGTCTGATAAGATCCTTAGTGGCTTCTAGAGTTCCCAGGAACAATATGAGGTGGTTATCCTTTGCCTCTTCTTTTCCAGAAGGTGGACTTTCAGCCACTCAAAAGGGCAACAAGTTACTTCTTATCCTTGCGGCATGCTGAGATTAAAATCTAGTGTTCAGCTTCCATGACCGGGAAATGATCTTTCCATCTAATCTTGCTTTAGAGTACAAAATTCATATTCTTAATACTCTACACAAAATGTTGTCAAATTTAGCAGCAATAGTGAGAGCTCAGAGCATTGCAGAAACAGCTTGGGGAGCTAGACATCGGCAACATGTTGTCAAACCCTGCTGTTAAGAAATTCCATGCTCTTCACAGTATCTCTAGCCCTCCCTATTGCCTGTTGATATGTTCCCAGTTCTTTATCAGCAAGTTTTATATTTGGTCTATAGAATTAGACAGGAGTAGAAAGTAAGCTATACCTGGAAAGTATGTAATTTACTTTACATGTATGTATTGATTTTGTTTCTTTAATACTGCTGGTGGTGCTGGTGGTGCAGTGGGTTAATACATTGAGCTGCTGGACTTGCTGACTGAAAGGTCACAGGTTCAAATCGGGGGAGCAGTGTGAACTCCTGCTATTAGCCCAGGCTTCTGCCAACCTAACAGTTCAAAAACATGCAAATGTGAGTAGGTCAATAGGTACCGTTCCGGTGGGAAGCTAATGGCTCTCCATGCAGTCATGCTGGCCACATGACTTTAGAGGTATCTACATTACAATTCTGGCTCTTTGGCTTAGAAACGGAGCACCAACGCCCAGCGTTGGGCACGACTGGACTTGATGTCAGGAGAATACCTTTACCTATTTGTATATTTATTTATTTATTTATTTATTATTAATTTATTTACAGCTTTTATATTCCGCCCTTCTCAGCCTACAGGGGACTCAGGGCGGATTATAGTGTACACATATATGGCAAACATTCAATGCCAATTTTTGACATACAAATATATACAGACATACACAGAGGCTATTTAACATTTTCTGGCCGCCAGGGAGCTGTCGCTTTCATCGTCCATCTGCAACGCTGATGAAGCACTTCCGCATTCCCCGCTGGAATGCTTTGCTGGAGTCTTCTTTATGGCCTCATAAATCAGTTAATTTAGCCTGCCCACACTTTAAGGTGGTACCTTATTTTCCTACTTGACAGATGCAACTGTCTTTCGGGTTGCAAAGGTCAACAACAGGCTACACACAATTGGTTGGAAACCCACTCCAACCTGGGCTGGCTTCGAACTCATGACCTTTTGGTCAGAATGATCTTAATGCAGCTGACTCTCAGCCACCTGTGCCACAATCCTGGTATATTTTAAATTGTTATGCTGATTTTTTAATGTTAAGCTGCTTTGAGTCCCCTTCAGGGGAGATAAAGCAGGGCATAAATGTATATGATGATGATGATGATGATGACGACGACGACGACGACGTAACTCAAACCTATATAATAGATTTTATCCACTTCACAGGATAAATTGAGCTTCCATCTATTTTTATATAAAAATTTCAATTATTCATTCATTTATTAAAATACCATGTTCTGTAATATACAATCTTATGGTGTAAAATAAAATCCCGTGAAATTATATTTTGAACTACTATTATCAACCTAGAAAATTTTATTTATGTCTGGTGAATCGAGGGAAGTAGCAGAAAAATATACAGTTTTTTTCATACATTACTACCAGCCACTGAGCAATACTGTTACTTCTATAGATCTATTTATTTATTTTCCATATGTATACCCCACTCTTCTCACCCTGAAAAGTTCTCAGAGCGGCTTACAGATTGGTCGCTTCAATACCACAATTGCAGTACAAAATATATAAAATACAATATATTAAACATAAAAAACATACAAATACATAAAAGCTGTTATAACCATATAGCTAAAACCTTGGTTGTCTTTCATACTGCTACATATCAATTCAATAAAAATACTCTTTTGTCTATACTACCTCAAAATTAATATATCTTGAATCCAATCTTTTCTGCATTGACAAATTTTAAATGGATACATTGATTTAATATCTGTGTATGATCCAAAAACTCTAAACCTCCTAATTTGTAAAATATTGGAATTTGTTCAATTAATCTTTAAAACAGGGTTATCAGTTCATATAACTATACTCAAAACACAGGTCCATTGTGCCTGGGCACTAACTGGTGATGAATCTTGCTGTATCGAAACTGCAACTGTTTTAGTCTTTGAGAGAGAGAACATGAATACAGTATGGCAAGGGACTGGATCAGACTGCCCTTGTGATCTCTTCCAATTTGATTATGCTATGTGCTGGACTTAATCACTTCTTCCAATCCCATTCCTTTTCATACTATGTCCTGTCTTATTTATTTAGACTATAAGTCTGGCAGCAAGAAACTGCTTAATGAAATATTTGTAAGACTTTTTGACTGAAGGATAGAGTATAAATAAAGCATCAGAACATCCATATCTGCCCCTACTTTTTAGACAAAGCAAAATAGCATAATCTGGATTATTACCTAATTAATAATAATGAACTCCCAATTCTTTACCAATGACACTATCCCAGTTCATGAGATCGCCTGTTTCCCTTTCCCATCCTGAGGCAATCAATCCTTAGGCTTTATACTTTCAACTTCTTATACAATTGGTTTACTCAGTGTAACTCAGAGTGTTTCCTTTTCTATTAACCACCAATCCATTCATTCATTCAAATGAAATTGTTTTATTTTATGCTTTGTTTTATTTTGATATTTGTGACCATTCACATATTACTAAAATTGATTTCATACCCTTAGCAATAGACATAGGATCAACTGGAGAGGAATTCTACTCAGTATTTTAAATTTATTTTGGTTTCCTTTCCTTTAATGAAAAGAAGGGTGAAGCAAACTTTTTAAGACCAACTTGGATTTCCTTGTTCCTCAGACTGTAAATGAGAGGGTTCAGCAATGCTGGCAGGATAGTATAAAAGAGTGACAGAAATTTATTTGTGTCCAGAGAATGGCTTGACTTCGGTGTCAGATACACACTCATTCCAGAGCCATAGAATACCACCACCACCATGAGATGTGAAGAACATGTTGAGAAGGCCTTGTGCTTTCCTTCAACAGATGGTATCTTCAGAATAGTGTTGCCAATGCAGATGTATGACAAAAAGATCAGGACAAATGGAATTAGTGCCAGTACTACGACTTCCACAAATGCTATCTGTTCATTCAGAGATGTATCTCCACATACTAGATTGAGCAAAGCAGGGATGTCACAGAAGAAATGGTTGATTTCATTTGAGTCACAGAAATGGGAGGTGAACACTAGAACTGTTTGGCTAAGTTGAACTGGAATTCCAGCTAGCCATGAGGCTGCTACCAGCCCAAAGCATACTTCCCTGCTCATAATAACCATGTAATGCAAGGGATGGCAAATGGCAGCATACCGGTCATATGCCATGACAGCCAAAAGGAAGCATTCTGCTGCTCCTGATATGAGGAACATGATCATTTGAAAAGCACAGCTAATAAATGGTATGGTTTTATCATTTGACAGAAGGTTTTCAAGCATTATGGGGATTATGACTGAGGTGTAGCAGATCTCCACACAGGACAAGTTCCTGAGGAAGAAATACATGGGGTTGGAAAGTGACCGGTCAACCAGGGTAACAATAATTATAAGAATATTCCCAATAAGAATCAATACATAGATAGTTAAGAAAGCAGAGAAGAACAAGCCCTCAAGACCTGGAAAATCGGAGAATCCCAGTAGTAGAAAACTATCCACTGTGCTCTTATTCATGGTCATACTGTGGAAGAAAAAGCAAAATAAACAGATGATCAGATAGATGTGACTATGGACTTCTTCACAAAGCCCAAAATTTGGCAGTGGCAGCAGCAAGTGTTTCTCAGTTCTGCCATGGAGTCCAATGGCTCCCATCACAAACCAGAAAAGTACTCCTGGGACGGCTCCAGGGTGGAACTGTCGCCAAAACCCTGCCACTCCCAAAAAATTGCCAGTGGTGGTTGACGGATGGCTCCCCATTTTTCCATAAGGACAGATTGTTTGAGCCAGCTTAAGGAGACTTTCCCAAGTGTGATGAGATGAGGGAAGCCGGGATGGTGCAAGGCAATAGATAACAGGTCCCTATGTCCCCTACATGAGCATCACCATAATCACCGCAATCTACAGCAATCCAGGGTGATTCTAGCACCCAGGGCAATTCTAGCGCATGTGAGAAAGTCCTTAGTATAACTTCACAGCAATATAACATGGCATACAATTAACACTCTATAAAGAAATTCTACCATGCAGTTGGGATGTCTGGTGTATACTATCAACACAATGGGACACAGTAAGATTATTTCCGTCCCCATAGAACCTAAAGAAAAAGAAGAAGAAGCGATGGTAAGATCAGGTTAATGTGGTCAGAGTAAAACCAGATGGATTCAATTCAACATATGTAGATCTAAATTCAGTTTAGATGAAGCCTAAGAATTCAGGTAAATTCTTCTCTAAAATGATAACAATTCCAAATAAAATAAAACTATCATTCTGAAATTTTATTGGACCATCCATATGGCTGGTTGTAAACTAAAAATTGTACTGTATTGTACTATTTTAATATGTAATGATTTTGCACTTTGTTGTTCTTATATATGATTGTATTTTTATATATGCTGTAAACCAACCTGAGTCCCTCGTTGAGGTGAGAAGGCTGGTATAGAAAACTTCTAAATAAATAAATAAATAAATAAAAATATTTGCCAACACTAGGAGTGAGAGGATTGCAGATACATTTGGGAGATGGGAGGCTTCCACAGTTTAGTTTCACAATATGGTGATCATATTTTAATTTTTTATTTAAATATTTTATACATAAACTTTATACATGCATGCACACATACACACACACACACACACAAATCAAAACATCCTTGCATCTCTGCTGCCTTCCAACCAATTTCAATTCTTGGAATAACCAACTATACACATATGGTATCCCCAAAATCCCACTATCATAAAAGCATAAGAATTTCCCCATTCATGAGGATGAGCAGATGATTTTCATTAAATGGAATGGAGCATGCTCTATTTCATAACACTTTAGGACTTTTCAAAAATCTACTGAGTTGGGTGGTGCACCTTCTGTCTACAATTGGGACATTTCTGAGGACTTGAAGTACTCTCAAGAATTGTACAGCATAATCTAAGCACACATACTTAGTGAGAAGTCCAACTAAGCATAGCCAAATAGACCCAAAACTGCCTGCAGATATGGTTATTTACCTAAAGAACTCTCAAATGTCATCTAATCACTCTTAAAAATGAAAATTGGCCAGAATAATGATCACAAATAACACAATTGCAGTTCTGGCATGCCAAAAATATGATATGTGGGCCACCAAAATGATTGGGGAGTCTCTCACACATCCACATTTGTACACCCCCATTGCCATCTTGTTTATTGTATATAAAATAAATTCAGATTACTGGAAGAAAAATCTGGAAGAAAATATTATCAGTGAGAAAACGGCCAACAAAAGCATACTGGTTTAGATACAATGGTCTAATGAATGAAGTTAATGTTACCAGTGGATTTTTATTGTTTGCTAATACAACTTCAATCTTCACCTGATTTGGTGTCAATATTTTAAATTTTAAGAAGAATATTTAAATATGTCTTCTGGCATTGCTATGAAATATCTCTTCTTATCCTATAGTATTTACCTGTTTGTCACAGTGATAAGCATCAGATGCAGGCATATAAATCTTAACTGAATTGATGACATTAACTGACTTCACAACGCTGTCATGGGTGTGTTCATTCTGTACCTTCTGACTGATAATATGGATGGTTTTGTAGGCATATTTGAGAGTTGGCTCCCGATTCAGTAAAGAATATTCTCAAGGGTCGTTCATTTTTCAACCCCTGGAGGTAAGAAGAAATAGTGATCCAAACAAAGAACTGATCCAAACAAAGAACTTAGTAGAATATAGATCATTTATTTATTTTAGAAATCAATCCCATAGGCATTTGGTTATAGCTTGTTTTAAAATCACAGTTCAGTCAGCCCTCCATATTTGTGAGTTTTCAGATTTGATTATTCATTGATATGTTCTCTGTTAATTTCTAGTTTTCCATTACAACTTTTTTGCCATAGAATTATACTGGAGGATGATGAGATTCCTCAAGAAAATGCTTCTCTAAGCATTTCACAGTTCTTCTACATAGTCCTGTGGTCAACATCTGGCAGTTATCCTGGAGGATCTAGAGATCCATAGAGAGATCTCAGGATAAAAAACAATGGGTTTTTTATTCACAGTTTTCACACTTTTGTGGAGGTATAACACACAATCACAGAGATTGTAGATAGTCGACTGTAATACAAGACATAATAGCAAGGATGAAACACAGTGCTACCAAAAAAAAAGTTGTGATTAATGTATTGAATGACTATGAGTCAGACACAGAGGAGTACCTACTACTTTTTGAATTAGAACCTATTTATTGGATTATGTTTGGGGAAGAGCAAACTATGGGAGGAACAATCAATATGGGCCTGGCTAAGGTCAGATGTCAACCTCCGACCACTTTCTAAGCCTCATTTGAGTGTGACATCTGATTCTGAGGGCAATCCAATATTATGGGTTATTGATCCTGGCCAACTGATTTCTGGAAGCCAACATTGGGCACCTTTTTCCAAGTTACAGGATTTTATTAGAAAGAGCAGTCTCCCTAGGTTACTCTCAAGGGCAGAATCTTTAATAATATAATAAAACTTTATTTATATACCACCATATCTCCCCTAGAGGAATCAGAGTGGTTTCCACATATGCAAAATAATACAAAAACATACAATATAAAACAAAAACATAGGCATAAACTGTTAACACAAATATACATTAAAATTATTTATTTATTTATTTATTTACTACATTTCTATACCGCCCCTCTCAGCCCAGGGTGATTCGGAGCTGTTAACAATCCGCAACAATTTGATGCCAAACAATTATAACAATTTTTCAAAAATCATAAAATACTGTTAAAACACTAGCAGGCATTATAAAAATATAAAAACTATACAAAGCCTTAAAAACATTATCCTAAGTGTTTCTTAAGCCAATGGTGAGAGCATTTTTAAAGCTATTGCTGGAAACATTCAAGAAGACCTTCCTCCTCACTCCTTCACTCCCCACCTCCTGTTGCATTGCTATGCCCCACCTTTCCCATCAAATAATTCAAATTGTCTCCAATGCTATTCAGTTTTCCCAAGAGTAGTCTATTCCAGTGTTTCTTGGGTTAATCAATGACCAACAGTTTCCCTACTAATATGCTTGTGGGTAGCACAAAGTATCCCATTGGGTTTCCTCATTTCTTTATTTCCTGGAGACTTCTAGGGACTCAAAGCCAATAATTCAAGTATCGGTACTTTTTGAAGCACAGTTTTTTTCCACATTAAAGATTTTCTGTTGCTGTTTTTCTATTGTAAAAATATGTAGAAATGTGTTCCTTTATGTTAAGTATTAATCATGCAACTGAGATCCATAAGCATTGCATTTTACAATTACAATACATGCAATTCTGACTTTATATGAAATCATTGGATGGATGAAGTGTGAAAGTAACAATGACACGAAAGTTCATTAAACATCAATGATAAAACTCTTAGATATCTCATATGTGAATGCAGTGAGATAATAATGTGCAAAATATGTCTTGGTTCCCTTAAATCTATGTTAATTAGGGAGATAAATGATACCCACAAAAGTTCTTGTCATTAACAAAGCATGATTTATTAATATATTAATACGCCTATTAAAATTGGTCAACTATACTGTAAACTTCCCTGATTTTTTCAATCTAGGGCGGAATCTAAATATTTAAATAAATAAATAAATAAATAAATAATACTGTGAGGTGTTTGTCCCTTTTGTGAGAGTGGAAAAGGCAACACTTCTACAAGTGGAAGAAATCAATGATATACTTTATGAGAAATATTGTATTCTGTAAAAATGCATTCTATGTAAAAAAAAATATCAAATTTTCAGGAATAATAAATTTAACTGTAAAACATTTGTAAAAGTTTCAGTAAAAGACCAAAAATGCACATATTGAAAATGTGCAAAAACCCACATTTCCACTTTGAGCAAGAAAAAAAATGAGTACTGATTTCTACCCAAAATATCAATGCACATTGATCAATCAACAGCAACTGCTACCCCAACACTGAATTATTAAATCTGTTATTGAGTTGGATTTCAGAGTTAGGTTTTTCAACAGGTGAAAGTAGCACTCTTCACATCTTTTCCCCAAGAAACTACACTACTACCAACACCAACAACACCTCCTTTGCTGATCATAGTACCTGGGTTGGTTTGTAAGATGAGATGCAATTAGTCAAATAGTCTGCACCCAAATCATTTAGGGCTTTAAAGGTAATGACCAGCACTTTGTACTTAGCCTGGAAACAAACCAGAAGCCAGTGGAGTTGCCGCAACATGGGAGTGGATCTCTTCCTGTACGGGGCTCTAGTTAGTAACCTGGCTGCCAATCTCTGAACCAATTCAAGCTTCCAAACTATCTTCAAGGGCAGTCCCACATAGAGAGCATTGCAGTAGTCAAGGCAATATGTGACTAAGGCGTCGACTACTTATATCCCACTTGTATCATTTAGGTGCAATCTACACTGCCATATAAAATCCAGTTTATTTGCTTTGAACTGGATTATATGGCAGCGTAGACTCATATAATCCAGTTCAAACCAGATAACCTGGTTTACCTGGTTTACCTGATTTGATAATCTGGATTATATGACAATTTAGATCTAGCCATAGTTACATATCTGTAACTATGGCTCCTGATGCTGTCTTTTAAACCTACATTGTAGACTATGTGCCTCTTCCCTCATTATGGTCATTTTCATTATTTTATAGGCAGAAAAGTTGTGACAATGATAGGCATCAATATGAACCTCAGTAGGGAACTCAGACCTCATCTACACAGCTGGATAAAATCTGGGTGCATCTACACTGTAGAATGAATATAGTGTCACAACTCTTTATTTGCCATAGCTCAAAGCTGTGGAGCCAGGGGAGTTGTTGTTTTACAAGGTCTTTGGTCTTCTTTGCCAAAGAGCCTCACCAAAGTACAACTCCCAGGATTCCATGGCAATTAAAGTAGTGTCAAACTGCATTAATTCTACAGTGTAAATGCACCCTGTAGCTTCAACTGAGGGCCTTTCCAGACAGGCCCTATATCCCAGGATCTGATACCAGGTTTTCTGCTTTAAACTGGATTATATGAGTCTGCAATGCTCGATAATCTGGAATAAACAGAAAACCAGGGATCAGATCCTGGGATATAGGGCCTGTCTGGAAGGGTCCTGATTTAGCTTGGTCTGCATAATAGATATCTAGATAGATTTGACAGATAGTGATAGATATGCCAGTTTTGAGAACCAATGTTATCACAAATTATTTAGTACTAAATCCTCACCACTACCTTAGGTTCCTAGCTATGTAAATGGACATTGGTCTAGGTTTTGTTAATGCAGTCACATTTCTAGTATGTGAACTAGAATAGGAAAAGAACAAATGATGAGGCAGAATTAATTAGTATTTTGCCTGCTAGGTTTACAGAGGCATTCCCTGAGCAGAGAAAGTAAACTTCTTTGCTCCCTTGATGATTTAGTAAGTAGGACAACTTTAGCTCATAATTCTTATACCCTTCCACCAAGTGCATTTTTCTTTCTGAACAGTGTGATTTGACAGCGTTGTGAGAGTTTCTTACTATAGATCCTTATTGAAATAGGACTTTTATTAGATTAACAGATATTTACTCAGATGAAGTTCCAGCTTGGGTAAAGAGTCAAGATGAACTGTTTTAAACACAATTCCGAGTTTAAGTTCATCTTATTTTAAAAACTACACAAGATTTTTAAAAACTGCTCAATGTATAACCAACTATTACCTAGAAGGTAATGTGAAGCATTCTTTGGAAGTTCACCTGAAACTCAGGTAAATGATGAATTGACTTTTACTCATTTTACTCATTTTGCTTTTCTGTTTAGCAAATAAAAAATATGATTGTACATTACATTTAGCACTAAAATGATAAGGACAAGTAAAAATAGTAAGGACAAGGACAGAAAATCAATGGTGGCAGAGGCATGAAAAAAAAATAGAGATTTGAATTTAAATTAGAGAGATGTGTATGAAAGGCTGAAAGCTCTACAAGTGTTTGTCTTTCATGCAGAAATGCATTCTACTACTTTTCCCATGGTATCACAGTTAACAATTTGGAATTTCATGTCAAGCAGGGAAACTATATGCATATGTGTTCAGAAATAACTTCAACAAGACTATCATCACACTAGAGAAAAAAATCCACTTAAAATCCAGTTTCTGCCTCTTGCAGAATTCTGGGGTTTGTATTTTAGGGATGATCCTTTAACAGCCTCACTAAACTACAAATCTCGGAATTCTGCAGGAGGCAGAAATCAGATTTTAAGTGGATTTTTTCTCTAGTGTGATGAAGTGGTAAGTTATATTTATTTTGCTTACTCTCAAGTGTGTTTAGATTTACATTGAAAATGTAGAGCAGTACAGCTACTATCTAGAAGTGTAGCTTGATCTTCCCACCGCAATATTCCATGTTAGGGTCTCTTATTGAATCATGGGATTTTCTCCAATACAACTTATTGACCACATTATAGGACACAAAATAATTTTGATTTCTTTAGTTATGGGATGATTAAATCTTCCACCTAAACATGAGGAAGAACTTCCTGACTGTGAGAACTGTTCAGCAGTGGAACTCTCTGCCCAGGAGTGTGGTAGACGCTCCTTCTTTGGAGGCTTTTAAACAGAGGCTGCATGGTCATCTGTTTGGGGTGTTTTGAATGTGATTTTCCTGCTTCTTGGCAGAGGGTTGGACTGGATGGCCCACAAGGTCTCTTTCAAATTTATAATTCTATGATTCTATGAACACCTAACCGACTCATCAGCTTATATTTCATATAGTAGTAAGTGATGTTATTGTTATGGCAGGTATTGTGGTGGATGAGTTTGCATCCAGATTTTGTAACATGTAGAAACATACTAGAATCAATAGGAATTAGGTTCGCTTTGATGTATGTATTCCATTAATTTGAGTGGATGTATTGAGTCTTAATGAGTTTAAATCCATTAATCACACCTACAGAAGTAATCCAAAATGCAGGGTGAGAATAAATGGTATATGAAATGAAAAGCCTAGTTGAAATATGTGAGTTATGAGATGTATTACATTTAGAATATAAACTACCAAAACAGCATATGAATTATGTAGTTTCTGGGAATGTTGAAGATTTGCTTAAGCTAAAGTTCCTTACTAGTTATAGAAATTATTAGGATGATATTTCTTTAACCTGAGATTAATTTTCATGAAATGTGAAATTAGCCACATTTGTGTGTATAGTTCTGGGTATTATTTTGCATACAATCCAACTGCAATTTTTGTTTACACATATTACTTCATCACACTAGAGAAAAATCCACTTAAAATCTGATTTCTGCCTCCTGCAGAATTCTGAGATTTGTAGTTTAGTGAGGCTGTTAAAGTCACATATTAGATTTATAGATCATAGTTATTAAAATATTACATTTCTTGAATTTTAGAAATAATTGTGTTAGCACTAATTTTGTAATATGCAGTAAAAATTGTAGACATAAACATGAACACATTGTTCTAATATCCTATGATGAAGTAGAAATCAGCTGATATATATTGATTCAATTGTTTCTTAGTGTTTGATTTTAGCTATTTCCACATGTAATTCTGTGTACATTAATCCTTTTTTTTTTTTGCCTTAGGTTGGAATTTTGAGGGGGGTAGCTTTGTTTATAACCAACAGTTGTTGGTAGCTCCCAGTAACAAGCATGTAGATAAATTGTACCCCTAAAAATTAGTACAAAATAATTTTAAACATGAGAAAAACATGGCCCTAGTTTTTCTGTATCCTAAAAAAAGTTCATTCCAGCAGTCATGCTAAGAATTTGAAGATTAATTTTGCATTTGCTTTCTTTTAGAACTCCCAACATAGGTTTGTTGTATAAATTGGCTCCTGAAAAATTCACCTCAGATTGAAGTACAATTTTCAGAATAGAACACATCACTGTAGACAAATGAAACAGATAACAGATATAAACATGATAACTAAAATACCTTAATTTCAAAATCAATAAACTGCATAACATGCACTTTATTACAACATATATCTATTCTGCATTCAGAGTTCTAATAGCTTTCTTTTTTTTACTGTGTCCTCCTGATATATTTTTCTTCTCTAATTACTGTATCCTTATTTTTTTAATTACCACCATTGTATTATTCTAACACATTTTTTGTTTTCCTTCTTTCTTATAGATCTATGGATCATAAGAATAAAAGCACCTCCAAAGTGTTTGTCTTGCTTGGATTTCCAACTTCCATGGAACTTCAAGTGGTTCTCTTTGTTATATTCCTTGTAGCCTACATTTTGACACTCCTAGAAAATGTTATTATCATTGCTGTGATCAAAACCAACCCTTATCTTAATAAACCCATGTATTTCTTCCTCAGCAACCTCTCCTTCCTAGAGTCATGGTACATTTGTGTAATTGTTCCAAAGTTATTGGTCAACTTCCTAGTGAAAGAAAATACTATCTCCTTTGAAGGGTGCATGACCCAGCTCTACTTTTTCAGTTCCCTCATATGTACAGAATGTGTTCTTCTGGCAGTAATGGCCTATGATCGATATGTGGCCATCTGCAACCCATTGCGCTATTCAACCATCATGACCCAACATTTCTGCATGCAGTTAGCAGTGGGTTCATGGCTAACTGGATTTGTGGCTTCAATGTTGAAGGTTGTCTTCATATCTCGACTACCCTTTTGTGGTCCTCACATCATCAACCACTTCTACTGTGACATTTCACCCTTGTTACATATGGCATGCGAAGATATGACAGTGGCTGAAATAGTGGACTTTGTCTTGGCCTTAATAATTCTGTTAATCCCATTGTCAATTACAATCATTTCGTACATCTGCATTATCAGAACAATTTTGGGTATTCGTTCTGCCCAGGGCCAGAAGAAGGCTTTCTCCACATGTGCTGCTCACCTCACTGTAGTCACAATCTTCTTCTCAGCTACCCTCTTCATGTATGCAAGGCCAAAGAGAATCCATCCTTTCAATCTTAACAAATTGGTTTCTGTTGTATATACCATTGTAACTCCAATGTTGAATCCTTTCATTTACTGTTTGAGAAATCAAGAGATCAAGGGGGCTGTGAAGAAAGCTTTCCGTACCCCCCAATCCCTGTCTCAAAACTTTGTGCCTAAGGTTGAATGGATCAGGTAGTTTAGCCAAAGAAATGTCCTTAGCATTTTCTAGCCTTTCTTTTAATTTTCTAAAGAGTGAGTTTTATGTGTGTTGGAATATCAAAGGCAGCATTTTCAAGATATGCTGATACTTGATGCATAGGGCTTTGATATGACATTTTTGCTGTCGATGGCAAAACAACAAATCCCCTGGTCCCCTGTAAAAGCACGTGATATGCAAGTATGATTGGCAGCTGTGAAAGAGAAGGTTTTAGATGGGGCAAAAAGATTAAAGGGTAATTAAAGTCCTAAATCTGGATTTCCAGAAAAAGGGGGTGGTCTCATACAATAATTAGGAACAAAGCTCCATGAGAAATCAGCACAATTAATTCTTCTTCTCTATGACAGCATAGACACCGCCCCTCCCGCACTGCCTCTATATCCCAGGATCTGACCCCAGATTATTTGCTTTAAACTGGATTATATGAGTTTCCATTGCCAGATAACCTGTGATAAGCAGATAATCTGGGATTAGATCATGGAATATAGGGGCAGTGTGGGGCTATAGTCACGTTCCTTTAGAAATGTCCAATAGATTTTTTTTTTCATGTCAGGAGCGACTTGAGAAACTGCAAGTCACTTCTAGTGTGAGAGAATTGGTTGTCTGCAGAGACATTGCCCTGGGGACGCCTGGATGTTTTTGATGTTTTACCATCTTTGTGGGAGGCTTCTCTCATGTCCCTACATGGTAGCTGGAGCTAACAGAGGGAAGTCATCTGCACTCTCCCTGGATTCGAATCTCTGACTCATCTAATAGATGGCAGCAAATGATATTGTATTTATAATGAAGAGTGAACAATTCAGAGGAAAAATCAGAATTACATAAATATCAAATATACTCAACAGAAAAAAATAATTGAAGAGAGGCGCATGTGTTCTCAGTTTTAATGATATACATGTTCGGACTAGATAAATGGTAATCATTTCCAAAATTCGAGGAAACAACCATTTACAGTAGACAAAAGGTGACTCTAAGTTAAGCTGTTGCTTTATATCAAATGACTCAAAATTGGTACCAACCACAGTGCATTGACAAGTAGCTCTATAACCTACATGTAGGTCATCAATAGTCAATAGTCAAATTTTTTCACAGTCCTAGACTAAATTGAACCTGGTAACTCTCAGAATGCCTGGTGACTCTGGGCATATTTTCCATCATGACAGGACCCATTTATCTATAACGGGAAACCAGATATTTTTAGGATAATATTGGATAACCTAGTAGGAAAGAGACTAAGCAGATATTTGCCCCATATGTGCCATAGGTTGTGATGGTACAGGGGGACTGGGTGGAAAGTAGAGCAAATACCTGTGGCTCCCATTTGTTGAATGACAGATCTCTGGAACTGCACCTACATGTCTTGTTTCATAGGGGTTGAGAATGAGAGTGTCCTTGGGGCTAGCCTGGGTTTTCATGCCTATTCTAACTCAGGTGAATTGAGGGTTTGACCCTCAGATTGTCTTTCCAGGAGATGTCCAACCAGTAAGAAATCCAGATTGGGGGGTTTTCTCTGGGCCTCATGTGAAGCTGAGGAGGAAGTCTGGTAGAGACCCCAGTTGCTCCTGTGCTAATTTACTCCTCCAATTTGCTCTTCTCAATGAATATTTAAATAGATAATAGTTTAAATAAACTGACCCACATTTGAAACCATTTTACATGTCTCATTATTTCATGGATAGTTTAGCAATGACACTACCAGTCCATTTGAACCATCTGTCTCCTGAGTCAAGATTGTTTAATAAATACAGTAAATGTGTCTCCTATTTCCACCAACAAATCTTACTAGTTCTTCTTTCACTTCATTCAAATAAAACACATGTAATGCATTAAACAATCAAAAATTCATCTCATTGCTTCTTAAGGAAGTTTTTCACAACTCTCTATTTAATAATTCTATGCAAAGAATCCAACTACACTGAGAGCACAGTGACTTAAGAGGGAATCTTGTTTACTGATCTTGCTAATGACTTTCACACATAAATGGAACTTGTTTGAGGGATCTACATGTGTACATTCTCAAAACAGAAATACTCCAATGAATCTGTTCTGGTCAAGTTTGTACTCAGAGAAGTGTCAAGTAAAATATGGGTTGGGTTCATATTTTGACATTGGCTAGTTCACACAGTTTCTGGAATCAAACACTGACGCAAATGAAGCCTGATATTACAATAGATTCCCAAATGTTTGTGTATGTGTGTATACATAATCGCCATAAGTAATTTTAAATTTATGGCAATGCTATGTCTAAGCTATCACAGGTTTTACTGATCCTGAGAGTATCTGACTCACCCAGGGTCACTCTGTGGGTTTCCATGGCCTAGCAAGGAATTGAACCCTGGCCTACAGATCTAAAGAACTAAGCCATTTTGTGTCTCATCATTGTCATCACCATCCAAACCATGCTGGCTTTTACACATGGCAATTCTTGCATATTGAATGGTAAAATGTCTGTATGCAACACACTCAGAAACACACTTCAGTCAAGGTAAAATGATAAAAAGTGTGATTTTGAAAAAAAATGTGTGATTTTGAAAAAAAAATGTGCTCAAAAATTGATTCATTAGAAGAAACATGGAGCCCCCAGTGGCGCAGTGGGTTAAACCCCTGTGCTGGCAGGACTGAAGACCGACAGGTCGCAGGTTCGAATCCGGGGAGAGGTGGATGAGCTCCCTCTGTCAGCTCCAGCTCCCCAAGCGGGGACATGAGAGAAGCCTCCCACAAGGATGATAAAAACATCAAATCATCCGGGTATCCCCTGGGCAGTGTCCTTACAGACGGCCAATTCTCTCACACCAGAAGCGACTTGCAGTTTCTCAAGTCGCTCCTGACACGACAAAAAAAATTAGAAGAAACTTACATATAAATTAAACAAATACACATACAGTGAGCCACTGGTTTCCACTGGGATTTAGTTCCAGGATCCCATATAAATACCAAATTTGTGTATGCTCAAATCTGAGTATAATATCATAAATACAGAGGCTGTTTCTTTGTCAGTGTTGATGTGGAGATTGTCTGGTTTGCCTATTCTGGCACATGCAACATATAATTGTCCTTCTTTAGGGGTCCCTTTCTAATCTATGATACTATATCTGTGTGTGTGTGAATCATATATCTATATCTATGGCTGGATAACTCTGTCAGAAGGACTTTGATTACGTTTTCTTGCCCTGGTGAAGGGAGTTGGACTGGATGGCCTTAAGTATTTTCTGTTGGTCATGGGGGTTCTGTGTTGGAAGTTTGCCCCAGTTCTGTCATTGCTGGGGTTCAGAGTGCTCTTTCATTGTAGGTGAACTATAAATCCCAGTAACTACAACTCCCAAATGTCAAGGTCTATTTCCGCCAAAATCCATCTGTGTTCATATTTGGGTATATGGAATATCCGTGCCAAGTTTGGTCCAGATCCATCATTGTTTGAGTCCACAGTGCTCTCTGGATGTAGGTGAACTACAACTCCCAAACTCAAGGTCAATGCCCACCAAATCCTTCCAGTGTTTTCTGTTGATCATGGAAGTCCTGTGTGCCACGTTTGGTTCAATTCCATCATTGGTGGAGTTCAGAATTGTCTTTGATTGTAGGTTAACTATAAATCCCAGCAACTACCACTCCCAAATGGCAAAATCAATTTTTTGAGTGATGGTCACTCCTTGGGTTAGTAGGTGTCTTGTGGCCAAATTTGGTGTCAATTTGTCCAGTGGTTTTTGAGTTATGTTAATCCCACAAATGAACATTACATTTTTATTTTTATAGATTAAGGGGTAATCTTTACTAAATTCAAGAGGCTAGACTTGGAGATAAATAGCAGACATTGCATTGAAGTGTGTTAGTCTTTGACATGTCAATCTACATTATTCAGTACATAACTCCTATACCTTTTTTTTTCTTAGAGCATCATAGAAACTTCTTTCTGATAAGCAAAATTATCTATCCACACATGTTTCTCTAGACAATCTTATGCAATTAATGTGCAGCCTAGCTAATGGGTTCCTTTGTGCACAGTAGTTAGTAACTCAGATAATTATAAAAGTTTAACTAAAGTAATTGAACATTTTCAGTCTTCTCTTCCCCCAGGGAGGGAGAGCCATGTTAGCTACTCTAAGGTCTATAGCAAATACAAAAAGCCTAATTATAACTTGAAAACTCAAGAGCTTTGCTAATGAAGGTACAAACCACCTGGCACAAAACAATGACAGTGAACTATTTGCAAGCGTCCCTGAGGTCTAGTGTAACAGGCAGACTGAAGAGAGAAATAAAGTTTAGAGTAAAGGATGTTTAATATGAAAAACAATGTCCCAAGGCCTATTTGTTCAGGAAGAATTTCTGATGGACAGTGATAAGATTTATTGTAAATTGGTGAATACCAGCTTCTGAAATAATAAAGCCAGTTTGTGTGCTATTGTGCTACACAAAAAAACATGGCAATGTGTTTCTATGGTACAGTGAATATTGCATGGATGTACATGTCTAAGTAGACAGATACACAGCATTACATTAAAAATAGAAAACAAAGGAAAGAAATATCATTACAGCACACAATATCTTCCTCAGTCATAATTTAAAGAAACATTACATAATATTTACTGTAAGTTACACAGAATACTCAAGCCATATAAAATCCAGATGATCTACTTTGAATAGGATTATATGGCAGTGTAGAAGCAGTCATCACAGTGGGCAATAAATACATTCCAAATTTTAGTTCAAATTAAAGTTTGGAATTAGGGCTGTAGCCAGAGGAGGGGGGTTTAAGAGTTCAAACACCACCCCCACCCCCCACCCCCAAAAGGTGTCAGGTTTTTTTTAAAAAAAACAAAACTGGTTTACTCATGATTTGGTTAACTAGTTAAAATGTGTGAGTAAACCAGGTTTTTTTAACCTGACACGTTTGGAGGTTAGCCCCCTCTGGCTATGACCCTGTTTGGAAGCTACATTGGGGTACAGGAAACCGCAAACTGAACAGCTCCTTCAAATTTCAGTTG